AAGTTAGACTCAGTGAGGAGAGCTCTGAGAGCTGATTGGAGGGAAGGGACAACCCTTCCTCCAATTTATACAGCACACATGAACAGAGCTGAGGCTGTCAATCACAGGCTGTGTCCTTGAGCTCCCTCCCCATCACCTTTTTTCTCTTGTTGTCTAGAAAACTTGTCAGAACTGACTCAAGCTGATAGCAGAGGAACAAGGCAGCAGACAGAAATGACACCTAGTGCTATTACCCGAGGTAAGCACACACTATAGAGGGATATGTATTGTTTATATTTCATATCTGAGGTTTACAACCAATTTAACCCCTTTGTACCGGCGTCTCCCTCCCCTTTAAGAGTTTCGGGAGGCGGGGCGGGGTTTTAGGGTTATGTGACCACTGTGATTCACATGATCGGAAAAGGTCCTAATCACAAGGGGAGATCGAGACCTTTCCATGAGTCAAGGACATATGTGGTGGGAGCGTACAGGGCGGGTACTCCCAGCACACATGTATTTTCAAATGGTACGCAAATATGCGGCCGCTCGGTGTCAAGGCACAGACGCCGAGAGGCCACGTATTTGGGCGCACTTAGTGTCTAGGGGTTAAAGTTCTTCTATATCAATTGAATTAACCATTGGGAGCTATAGCACAGATGATTACTCCATCTGATCCCAAAAAATGAGAAAGTAGTCCCCTATCTCTCCCCAGCCCCTGCTGCTGAACTGATAGGGATACTGCGCATGCACAATAAGGGTGGCTTCACAGTGAGCTTCTGTGCTTTGTTCGTGAGGTTAGCTGTGCTTTGCCATAGACTTCTATTATGTCCCGTGGTTTTGGTGTGCTATCTGAAAGTGCACCATAACCGCAAAACACAATACAAGTCTATAGGGAGGTGTAGCTAACCCGCATGAAAGCTATGGTACACTGCACCCGCATTGTGGCCAGGGGCAGTGTGAAAGCAAAAAGAACAGTGAAAAAGAATTCACAAAGGAAAAGCGATTACATTATGGACAAAATGTCATAAAAAAATTATGCTTTTTTATTACAAAATTGCTTGTAATTAGACATTCAGGTAAAGCCCACTGTTAGCCATCACCACAAAATGAGACAATGCCAGAAAAAAACAACCTAAAACAAGAACAAATAAAAGAAGGACATCATGATCGGCCATATATGTAGTTATGCTGTAGAGACAACGACTCTAGGTCTTTTGTATAAACAGCACAGGCACAAAGGAAAACACCACCATGGTGGGGATGTATATGAGTTATATAATAAGGCTGTGCATCAATAATGTAAAAAAATTACACAAAAACCAACAAAGTATATGGAATTATGAGCCCAACCAGACAATGCTAGAGAGCTAGTTGAAACCAAAGTTCTAGGCATGTATCAAACATAATATATATTTTGAATATGTTAATATGAACAAGATTGCTGGTAATTGAGCCAGTGGATGATATCAAGACTCATAATGCCATTGCTAAAGGACACAATCCTCAGGTGAAAGTAATATGCCTTTGACAAGGCTACCAAATTAAACATAACTAATATTGCTGCGGTTGGTGTCCAAAATTAGACATATGATGAACAGGTAGCTTAGCCGAAAACTTTCCTCAATAGTGAATTCTCTATGAGACATCCGCTGTCTGATGTTGAAATGGCAGTGTGAGAGCACGTTAAGGTATCTCAAGTTCCTTTTCTGTGTAAGGTGGAGGAGCTCTAGCCTTGTTAGGCAGGCTGCGGGTTGGGGGGGGCTGTATTGAGCTCTGCAATTTATAATGGCAGCCATGGGTTTGTGCCGCTGTGATCTGCCCTGGATCAAGCAGCTCTTCGATCTCCTGATCCCCCAATGCCTCTGTATTATTATTATTATACAGGATTTATCTAGCGCCAACAGTTTGCTCAGTGCTTTACAATATAATAGGAGACAATACAGCAACAATACAGTTCAATACAAGAGGGATAGGAGGGCCCTGCTCCTTGGAGCTTACAATCTAAGAGGGAGGGGCTAGTGGTACAAAAGCTAGTAACTGTGGGGATGAACTGGTAGGAGGAGTAGAAGATTCCATTATTAGCTGAGGGCAGGATAGGCTTCCCTGAAGAGATAGGTTTTCAGAGATCGCCTAAAAGTGAGCAGAGTAGGCGATAGTCTGATAAATTGGGGTAGAGAGTTCCAGAGGATGGGGAAGCTCTGGAGAAGTCCTGGAGACGAGCATGGGAGAAGGAGACGAGAGAGCTAGAGAGCAGGAGGTCGTGCGAGGAGTGGAGAAGGTGGTTTGGGTGATATTTGGAGACAAGATTGGTGATGTAATTTGGGGCAGAGTTATAAATGACTTTATATGTTATTAATGTTTTGAATTTTATCAGTTGGACAATGGGAAGCCAGTGAAGGGATTAGCAGAGAGGGGTGGCAGATACAGAATGGTTAGTAAGGTGGGATAAGTCTGGCAGCAGCATTCATGATAGACTGAAGAGGGGATAGCCTGCGATTAGGTAGGCCAATGAGGAGGGAGTTACAAAAGTCAAGGTGAGATATAACAAGGGAGTGAATAAGCTGCCTAGTAGTTTCAGAGGTTAAGAACGGCCGTATCTTGGAGATGTTGCAGGGGGTGAAGTCTACATGATTTGATCTGTATATCTGCACATGCGCTGCACTTGGCCATAGTTAGTATAAAGGAATACCAAACTCCCTGTGCTGAGCAGGATGCCAGTTCCATGCCTGTCTATGGCTGAGCGGATCACATGCATCTTTACAAAGTGTGAAAATGTGTAATGAACCTGGGAATGTTCCATTATACATCAACTGTTTCACAAGTTACAGAACGCAATTCCTTTTCACAGGGAACATGGCTAATTTGCAAGACCAAACAGAAGACGCAGAGATAAGTTCCTGCGTAATCCCCTATATATATCTCCTTGCCGTATACCCAGGTTTTATTAATAAAGCCAATATATCACTATATCAAACAGCCTCGTCCATTATCATAATTTGCTTTATCTGTGTGTCTCTTATCTCGGTGTATAGAGAGCCAGCGTTTTCTCTTACTGTTGTTTTTGCATTATCATCGCCTTTTTAGCATATTGGGTCTTTTATCTGAATTGAATGACTGAATTGACCTTGCTGGCTGTTTACTTTGGAATTCCCGGCGGGCTTGATATAAATGACAGTCATGAGTTACTGTGCCGCCAGTAATGGATTATTTCAACTCTTTACACATTGCTATTTTTCTTTATGCGGCGAGTCCTAAACGCTCGATGTTACAGTCACTGCACAATCTTCGTATCGTTATTTCATAAAAGTCATTTATGAAGGCTAGGCCTGTGCTGGCAAAGTGACAGGACATGTGCCAGAAGAGCTGGTGGAGCTGGAAAGTCTGCCGGGTCTGGCGTGAGCTGCTATGGGCTGTTCAACATCAGCTGTCAATGCTTTACTAAGCATCCTGCTTTCAGGCCCCACAGTCAGAAAGATAAATATACGGTGGAATACATAAACTGTTGTAATTGCCAAAGGATTTGTAATCCTGTCCAGCCAGTAGTGTGATCCAGGCACATCTGCCAGGCAGCACAGGCAGGTGTTGCACTCCACTCCAGACTAGACTACAGTTGAGCAGTACCGCCTAGGACCTACCCCAGTCTGTGATTGGACAATGAAGGAGCAAACAGAAGAGATCATCACTCTGCTCTTCTCAGCAACCTCTCAAGGTTAGATGATTTGCAGCAGAGCTTTGTTTATAGTGCTGCCCACCCTCTCTGAGGGCTATTTCCACTTTTGCAGCCAAACTAGGATAACACGTACAGTAATTGTATGTCACGTGTAGAATGTAAGTTACACGTGTTTAGTACTTACTCTATTTGTTTGTTAAATGTTCTAATTCACATAGCTTAAAAAAAAATCGCAATAGCTAATTACCATTCTAAATACTCTGCTATGATAACCCCAGCACTGAAAAATGCTACTTAGTTCTCTTAATGAGGGGGTTGAGGATCTGTTTTTGCCATATTTAAGCCTGTCTGTACTGTGCTTTCAGATCTCATTATCAGTTGAACACTAGATTTGAATGCTGTCTGTCTTAACAAAGAGTTAAAGATTTAGAAGCTGGACTTCTTCCCCTGTATGTTAAAGTAAAAATAAAGGCAAAACCTTTTTTTTTTTTTTTTGGATGGGGCACTTCCAGGAGAGCCTGTGCTCAGAAAAAGTGTGTTGGATGATGCTGGCCATCAGGCTGAGGCCATCTAGAGGTGAAAAAAAGTACTGTAAGGGTAATTTTTGGATTGGAAGTGACTTTTACAGCAAAAGCTGGTGTTATTGATTTTTAATGAGCGATTCATTTTAATTTTTCTGTACATGTGTATTTTTCTGTTTTTATTTAATCTCCTTCCCTCATGTGTTGCACTTCCTGTGGGAAGTCTTGTCATTCCTGCCTCTTCACTCCTGGCTGCATATCAGTAAATCCTTGATGTGCAGCTCCTTTTGTTATCAAAGTTTACCTTGTTCTCTGTGGGACCTCAGTCACTGAAGCGTGATGCCACAGAGCGCAACTGAGTGGGCTGGGCTCCCTCAAAAGCTTACTATTTCTTATATCCTTTTCTGACCCAATTAGCGACTCTAATGTAAACCAGCAAACAGCGGGGGTGTTTTATCGTAATTGTTTTACCATAGCTGTGGAGTGACACTCTGCTAGAGCGAGACCTACATTGAAAATGTAGAGAAAGAAAGAAATACAACTTGTTAAACTCTGTGTGTTCATTGTATCAATGAAACACTGATTACATAAGAAAAAAATATATATATATATAAATGTATTTTTTATATATATATATATATATATATATATATATATATATATATATATACACACACACACACATGTTATATTGCCATATTATATTGCCAAATGTATTAAGACACCCCTCCAAATCATTGGATTCAGGTGTTCTAATCACCTCCATGGCCACAGGTGTATAAAATCATCACCTAGGCATGCAGACTGCTTCTACAAACATTTGTGAAAGAATGGGTCGCTCTCAGGAGCTCAGTGAATTCAAGCGTGGTACCGTGATAGGTTGGCACCTGTCCAATGAGTCCATCCGTGAAATTTCCTTGCTGCTAAATATTCATTGGTCAACTGTTAGTGGTATTATAACAAAGTGGAAGCAACTGGGAACAACAGCAACTCAGCCACAAAGTGGTAGGCCACCTAAAATGGCAGAGTGGGGCCAAATTATGTATGGCCTTCAGATTAGCACAACAGGTTGTAGAGAGCTTCATAGAATGGGTTTCCATGGCTGAGGAGCTACTTCCAAGCCTTATATAAGTGCAGTGAAAAGCGTCAGATGCAGTGGTGAAAAAAAGCCGCCGCCACTGGACTCTAGAGCAGTGGAGACATGTTCTCCAGAGTGATGAATCACAATTTTCGGTACTTGCCTGACTGCATTGTGGCAAGTGTAAAGTTTGGTGGAGGGAGGATTATGGTGTGGGGTTTTTTTCTCAGGAGTTAAGCTTGGCCCCTTAGTTCTAGTGAAGGGAACTCCTAAGGCATCAACATACCAAGACATTTTTGGCAATTTCATACTCCCAGTTTTGTGGGAACAGTTTGGGGATGGCACCTTCCTGTTCCAACATGATTGCACACCAGTGCACAAAGCAAGGTCCATAGAGACATGGATGAGCGAGTTTGGGTTGAAGGAACTTGACTGGCTTGCACAGAATCCTGACCTCAACTCAACAGAACACCTTTGGGATGAATTAGAGCAGAGACTGTGAGCCAGACCTTCTCGTCCGAAATCATTGTCTGACCTCACAAATGTTCTTCTGGAAGAATGGTCAAACATTCTCATAGACACACTCCTAAACCTTGTGAACAGCCTTCCCAGCAGAGTTGAAGCTGTTATAGCTGCAAAGGGTGGGCCAAATCAATATTGAACCCTACAGGCTAAGACTGGGATGCCATTAAAGTTCATATGCATGTAAAGGCAGGCGTCCCAATGCTTTTGGCAATATAGTGTGTGTATGTGTATGTATATATATATATATATATATATATATATATTTAAAAAATATATAAGTTTCGAGACTAGCTCTGTTTACAAAAAAGTACTTTATCTACATTTACAAACTAAAACCTTTAAAATAGTCCCCTTGCACATCAATACAGCGCTCCCAGCATTCCTAACACTTCTAGAATGTGTCCTTGAAGTCTTCTTTTCGAAGCGCGTCAAGCACCTTCTGTGTTCGTGTTGGATCTCCGCAATGTTGTCAAAACGGCCGCACACCAACAATGGCAGCAGTGTTGTGAATCGTTCTTCAATGATCATCATGCACAAGTTGTTGATTGGTTTCGTCATTTTTGGGGATTGAGCTCATTGAAGGTCCTGATCTCTCATTGCCTTCCAGTGATGTTCTTCCGCTCTTGAAGCACATATGCCAATGAAAACACCTCAAAGGACTCATTGCAGCATTGCTGTAAACTTGCCGAATCATGTCAAACATCTCTGTGGCAAATTTGCCCAGTTTTACGCAGAATTTCACGTTTGCTCTTTGGATCTTACTTGCTGTCCATGATGAAATAGCAGACGTGGTAATGCAGGTGTTCAGAATAGCACCAGTTGCGCAGCTTCCAATGTACACAATAGGATGTGTTTTGGCACACTGACTTATAAAGGCCAGTGCTCCCTGTGACTGAGGCAGCCTTGTGGTGCTATCTGTTGGTGTGTTTCAAAAATTTTTGATACCACCTTGTATATATACTGTATATGTTTTTTGTGCCCTGTCACGGTGTAAAAAGACAGTCTGTAACAGGATTTGTAGACAACCGACACAATGATGGTGCAGGTGTTCCTAGGGTAATCTGAACTAGGGTTTTTGGCTTCAACCTCCCATGAAGTCCATGTACTCTCAAGGGAGCAGCCAGAGGTATGCATGTCTGCATGGTGCAGTCTGGGGCAGGAGAGGCCCAAACCAGAGGGCTGGAGCCGCAGCGCAGAGAACTGAGAAAAATACAGCGTTTGTGCACAAGCACAGGGATATTGTGTTAGAGGGTCAGGAGGACCGAGGCGTGAGGCCTTAGCAGCGGTGCTGCTAAAGAGAGTCAAGATGCTGAACATTACTGTATTTTGTGTTGATGGTGGAAATCTTTGCGAGGGATTCTGAATGCTGTGACCTGTTTCCTTCTTTCTTTTCAATAAAAGTGGGCCAACAAGCCTTTAGACTCCGTTCACACTAGTGCGACTTGTCATGTGACTTTGGATTCATAAAGTCACATGACAAGTCGCAGCCCATTGATTTAAATGGCACCCTTTCCAATCTATGCAATTTAAAATCGCAGCAACTTTAAAAAGGTTCCTGCTCTACTGTGATGCAACTTTCTTGTAAATTGAGTGCCAAGTTGAGTTGCATGAAAGTCGCGTTGGAAATCGTGCAACTTTGGAGTCACACTAGTGTGAAGCAAGCCCTAAAAGGCATATCTGGTGTGGACTAGACTTGCTGGTGAGATCTACATTTGAGTTAAACAACCCCCAAACGTCAGCATCTATCTATCTATCTATCCTATATATATATATATATATGTATATGTGTGTATATATATATATATATATATTTGTAGACAATACATATATATATTTATTTATCTTTTAATTGAATGAATATTTTTATAAATACATTTAAGTACATTTACTAAGCACAACTATATAAAAACAGAACTGGGCGATGTGGAGGTTCCCTTCTGGGCTTGTTACTTTCGCCTGTTTTCCAAACTTTTAATGGTTCTGCTGGGAGGGAGACTCACCCACTTTTCTATGCTGCTTCTTCCCTTTTTCTCCTTACTACCTTTTCCTCTCATATCTTCTGTTTCCTTTTCTTATTATCTAAAACTGCGAATTGGATGATTCACTACACCTACTATACATCTTATCACTGTGGGAACTCGCTTCAAGTGGTAGAGCTCTTCTTGTTAAACACACAGCAACTCGCTTTCTTTTCAGGGCTTTTTTACCCACTTTTATTTAAGAAAGTTCAAGAAAACACAAATGCTTCCCACGCAGGGGTATCCACCATCAAACACAACAATATTCAGCCTCCTGGCTTGCACGCAGTTTTAAGTCTGCCTCCTGCAGACTCTTCCCAAAGTATGGCACTAGCACACAGCTAGTCCGGCTTCCACCTGACTCCAAGGCAGAGACCTCCCGTCTGCCGGGGTGGAGCCCTCCTGACTCCGTTTGCCGGGGTGGAGCCCAGAATCATGGCCTGGCCTCCACTAAAAGGCCTGCACACACCTGTGCAATCAGCACGCTGGCTGCTCCCAAAATATGGGCCCAGGATTGGAGATTTCATCCCTCCCAAATCTCTAAGAAATCTCCAGGCTACAGGTCCCAAAACAGGCTTTACAAACCAAAGAGGAAACTTATAAATCAGTTTCCTCTGCATTGTGAGAACTGCCTGGAGCCCCTCAACCTGTTTAGTTGAGAATCCTGTGTCTCCATCATGATTTCCACCATGGCAGGATACCGCACTGCCACATCACCCAAATTAAAAATTTGTTGATGTTATATACAAAATTGCGAGATACCTCATAGATGCCTGTTAGCCTCCTTTTCCGCTAGTTTAGCAAATTTTGGAAAGTCGTGATCATATCGGTACAATTATGTATTTTCACTCAGGAAAGTATGCGGCTCAACAAGTGATTGCTCTCATTTTGTTAGCTTTGAATGCATCCTGCTGAGCTGCTCTTCCTAAGCATTATTTAGATACATATATGTTCTACTTTTATTGCAGGATATATTGAGCTTATTTCACAATTTGCCTTCGGTAGTTTCCAGCAGCCTATGTCTGAACGAAGCATCCCATTCATTCCTATATTGCTGTATACTGCAATGTATTGTTAATTGTACTGTATTATGATGTTTCCTCTGGCTTGTATGTCAGGACCTTTCCGATAAAGCCTTCTTTTGTGGAAAATATAAAAACAGAAATTTGAGTGACAGTTATTATTATACAATATTTATATCAGCGCTGACAATAATACAAACTGTGGTACTGCTTTGTTTAGCTGGTTTTGGCTCTGTAACCGTTCTATTTAATTAGTATTTTTTTTTTAGCTCGTACTCTTGCGGTTAATATTTCACGGTAAACAGGGACTGCTATGCTTTTGCCACAAGCGAACGGATTGGTGTTAGAACCAGCCCCGTGCCGGAAAAGTAAGTTTCGCAGAGTCGGAGCAGTGTGGCAGCCCTGGGATTTCAGTGTGATTTCAAAGCACAGCCTCTAGACACAGACACATGGCGGCTCCTGGTACACAGGTTGGGAAGTGCTGCTTCGGAATGTATTTTAATGCACGCCAGAATAATGAGACTGTCAGCCTGCCTATTCTCTGCTTCTGGGGCGTTAATTATTTGTGAAATAGACTGCCGCAGCTCTGAAGGGAAGGAGAGATCATGAAGTAATGATGTGAAGTCGTAAAATACAATAACACAAGTCCCATCTTTGGGGAAAAAAACAGTAAAATGAGTTTTAAATTTGTTCCCCAGTAATTTTTTTTTACACCGCAATCCAGCCACAGTAATTAGGGTGAATGTGATATTAATTTAATTGTGCTGATGGAGGATTTTTTTTTATTTCAGTTTCATTGCCAAGGTTGAAAAAGTAGGCAAAAAAAAAGATTTAAAGGGGAGCTGCATTTTATGAAGTGCTTGAGTTATAATAATGCAGTCTCTCTGGAAGTTGTGTTTGAATAGATTTTCATGTTTGCTGAGCTAGATCTTCCCGTGCTGATTTTTATGTGCTTCCTCCATTGCCTGTATATATGCAAGACAGTGGAATCAGTATCTTTGCTGTACAAACCTGTCATATCTACAGATCATGACGTGTGCAACTATGTTTATTACATTGTAGGTTCTCATAGGTTGGTCCGTTAGTTCTTGTCCTTTCCAGCCCTTGAGTTTCCTGACCTGCAACTGTCTGTCAACTGAAAAGGGTGAAAACAGGGCAGAACTCGGGAGGGAATCACAATGTGCTGTGCAATGATGGTCTCTGCCCCTTATAAGCATTGTGACATACTAAGAAGTAGGTATGGAAAGCCTATGACCACTGGGCTGCACAGCTAGCAGAGGTGAAAGCAAAAGGTCGTAGAGATTCCCAAGTCCTGAACTTTGCCTGCGCTACCTGTAAATTAAAAAGATTGTCATAGGTACTCTTTAAAAATCCATCTCGCAGTAGTGCGACAAATGCTGGAACTTGCAACAGTTTTCTATATGTGTTAGTATGGTGTGTGTGGAAAGCCAATGATGTCTGGGCTGTGCAGCAAGCAGAGGTGAAACCAAGAGGTCATAGTGATTCCCGAGTCCTGAACTTTTCCTGCGCCGCCTGTAAATTAAAAAGATTGTCATAGATACTCTTTAAAAATCCATCTTGCAGTAGTGCGACAAATGCTGGAACTTGCAACAGTTTTCTATATGTGTTAGTATGGTGTGTTTGGAAAGCCTATAATGTCTGGGCTGTGCAGCAAGCAGAGGTGAAACTAAGAGGTCATAGTGATTCCAAAGTCCTGAAATGTGCTGCACCACACACTTGGGAGGCCTTCTGGAAAAGCCACAAATCACATGCCCTGTAATTCA